ATGCAGGTTTACGTCTGCAACTTGGATGTGCCATCAGTTGGATCAGGCTTTAAACCAAGGTCCCGTCTGCTTGTTAAGGGGAACATTACAGATCCCGTGGTACTATTCATATTGAGAAGGAAGTTTCCCCAGTATCTCGGCCCATCTCATCTTCCAGCCAAAATGGTCATTCACTTTGTCTGTTTCTGGGATATTGCTGTACCTAAATTGTCTGCCCCATTCGCTTACAAAGTACAGTGGAAACTCACAACTCAGGCCAGCAAACTGACCACAGAATTTTGACCATATTAGCGGGTTGACCTCACTAGTTTGAATAATGTTGAAATGTAAAAAAGTGCAAGTGGTCTGAGCTTTAGGTGAGTTTCCACTGCACCCACAATAACTTCACAATTCTCTGTGAAGCATTTTGAATTGATTTGATGAGATAGTCCCACGTATCAAATACAAAGATTATTACAACTCTCGCTTTCAATATATTGCAGCTCAAGTTACACACTTTGAAAACGACTAATGAATTTATAATAATAATAATACATGTATTAATAATAATGGTTACATTTGATCTAGCACTTTTAATATCACGAGGACATCTCAAAAGCACTTCACGGGATTTAATGTAAAGTGTAGTGACTGTATGGTTTTGTGGGCAAACGTGGCAGCCAATTGTACATAGCAATATCCCACAAACAGCCATGAAGTGAATAACCAATTTTAACTGGTGGATTGTTGGCTAGGAAACTGGAGGAAACTCCATTCTCTTTTTGAATAGTGCAATGGGATCTCTAATGTCCACCTGAACAGGCAGATGGGGCTCGGTTTCACGTCTCATCTGAAGGAAGACAATTCAGCACTCTTCCAGTGTTTCATCTTATAAACGTTTGAGCTCCTCCATTGACTAAAGGCTGCACAAATATAAAAATGACTAATTATAAGAGGAACGTATTTCACTGTAGGGTGAATTGTCTTTATCCTCATTCAATTTGAATTGCGAGTCTATAAATGCCTGACATCATGATGTATTTGAAAGCAATTGCCTGCATGTTTCAAGTTCCATGAAAACTAAGAGAGCACCAAAAGGTTTTTAATGGATTATTAAAAATATAATTCACTTATATTTCTGTTGGATTTATACATGAGCATTAACATTTGGAAATCCACCAATTGGAAGCTCTGCTCCCTGCAGATTCACTTCAATCACATCACTATGGTTCTTATGTTCAGTTGTAAAACGCAGCAATTATGCAATGATTGCAATGCACAAGGAAATATAACTAGGGCTTGATTTTATTAGCTTTCTGCTTAGCGAACCTTTCAGTCTTATTTGCTTTTCGCCTCCTTCCTTCCTCTACAAAAATCATCCAAATGTCTCAATTTGTAAAGTCACTGACAGCCAAGAGTTACTAAATTGACACATTGGATGGTCCCAGATTTGAGCTTGGGTCTGCACATAGTTTATCATATCTGCACCTGTTGTCATAACAATAGGCCTTGCATTGGATACAGTGCCTTGTCACTTCATCAATATGTCTCAATGTGTTTCACAGGATTCATTGTAAGATGTAGCGACTGTATTTGTAGGCACACACAGTAGCTAAAGTTTGCACAACAAAATGGCCGCAAGCCACCATGAGGTGAATGACCATTTTTATCTGGGGGTTTGTTGGCAAGCCCACCGGAAGAAAGAAACTCCCTTCTCTTTTCAAATAGCGTCATGGGATCTTTAACATCTACCTAAACAGGCATAGACGGGACCTCAATTCAATGACTCATTGAAAGACGGCACCTCCAACAATGCAGTGCTTCCCAGAGCACTGGTGTGACAGCCTAGACTGTGATATCATGTCACAACATAAACCACTGGAAGCCAAATAGTTAAACTATCAACATAAAACCAGTTTGGTTTATCAAGTTGACCTTTTGATGTAAAATGTTTCACCTTGGTGTCTAAGTTGTAATAATTTCCAACAGATCCAACAATGGATGTGCAATTATAAAACATCCACTCGATCGTTCCTTCAGATCACCAAATTTCAGTAACCACGCTTTTTTCAGCTCATTGTAAGTTTACAAAAATTGTCAAATACACATGCGCACATGTACACACCACCAAGAAATCCACCAGCCCTGAGTGCACATAGCCAGAGATTTAACATTCACACATTTCCCATCTCAGACAACCCAAGAAAAACTCGTAAATCATTCCACGTTTTACACAGCCACAGAACAGTTACACTGACGTCTACTATTACGCGCAATTTACAACTTTTCTTTAGCTGAAAGCAGTAACCATCCGCACAAATACACAGCGAGAATGCACTACATTCCAGAATTTTAAAGTTCATTCTTCCCATTATCAAAAGGGCAATTTCTAGGCTAGTACAGTAAAACTCACATAAGTCATATCAGTTGGGACCGTGACATTTAATATGATTTATGCCAAATCTGAGTTCCAGGCTTGTACAAGTTGTATAAATCCGGTTTAATCAATAATTTAAACTGCGGATGTGTAATTCAATGCAGCCGGTTAATGTGTATATGGTTATGGGTCAGGGCTATGTTTGACCCGTCGCCACATGCAAACCTATCAGCAAGTATTGGAATCGCATTGATTCGTGGGAAATTACTAGTTAGGAGATGAATTGGTTGTAAGATATGACTAGTAAAAGAAACTAAGTGGCTTTGGTAAGAAATTGAATGGGACTCAGATGCATGTACAATTTAGGCAACTTCCTCACCAGTATCCTCGCTTGGACCAATCTCTGCACCCCTATCATCCCAGTCCTTGACAGACTCCACTGGCTCCCTATTGCAGATTGGATTTCAAGACCCCACACCAACCTACAAAATCTCTTCATGTCCTGGCAATTCCCTACCTCTCTAACCTGCTCACAACTCCACTCATTTACCAATCATCTTTGCTCAACTAGGTTTGGGCTTTATACATCCCTCAGGAGAGAACAGGAGAAGGTTGCAAGGTTTAAAGAGAGAGGCATAACACACCAGTACAGATGGAATGCCTAGTAAACATTCCCATTGCAGTACATGACTGATTAAAGGGAAGTTGAGCCTTTCCAGCTCAAGTCCCATCACCTTCTCCTTCACACTTCTTCATGTATCTGTTGACATCTTATAAATGTAGCGAAACACTGAGTTATTAAAGCTTCCCGGTCCCAATGGGCCTCGGTTATAACACTTGCGTCCATTGATAGATGGCTCAAAATCATTCCTACAAACATGTGTGAGGTCACAGAGAAACAATCGTCACCTCAGAAATGTGCATAATTGTACTTTGTTCAGCAATTTAAGGCTTCTGACTTTATAGTCTGCAAAAGTTCAAATCTGTCAGCAACTTGATGTTTAGATTTTTTTTTAATCCAGTCGGAAAGCTGGAGTCTTAGTGTGGATGTTGTTGATATGCAATTGTGAGCTGTTCATCCAGATGACCGGGTTTCATAACTTGTATAATGTCTGGGCACACGAGGGCATTCTACAGCCCTAAACACTGCCTAATGAGTGTGCAAGTCACTATTCTCACACCTTGGGCAAGTTTTGTCACTCCACACGCCAAACAGTAAGTAGGAACCCGGTTGTTAGTCGATTAGCGTTTTCTGCGGGGTAATAATCCCTAAAAAAAAGGATCACTTAATCCACAACTGTTTGTGGGACATTGCCATGCGCAATTGGCTGCCGTATTTCGCCCACACAATACACAGTCAAACTACTTTACAATATATTTTGTGAACAACTTTGCGATATCTCAATGATGTGATAAAGTGCTGCATCAAACGCAAGTATTATTATTATGGATAGGCAACTTGACACAATACAGGCATAGGTTCAACCACTGCTGGTAAACAAGGAGAAGCAGATCAAGGCCTCTTCACTAAACAAAACTGGGGGAGGGTGATTTTTTTTAAAAAAACAAAGGATTGTTAGAACATGGAATACTATACCATAAATTACTGTTGAGCTGGAGTTCATGACAGTATTTATAACAACAAGGTTTGATTTCTATGGCGCCTTTCAAGTTGGAAGGATGTCCCAAGGCGAAGTGTACAGCATTTCAAACCTGAGCTGGGGTCAGGGAGGGAGAAGGGAGGGGAGGGGAAGAGGGGTGACCGATGGCATGGCCAAAGAGAGGGTCTTGAGGCGGGACTTGAAGGAGGCTAAGGAGGGGGCGAGGCGGAGTGATTGGGAGTTGGAATTCCAGAGGTTTGGGGCAGAGTGGCTGAAGGCTCTCCCGCCAATGGTAGGGCGGTTGGGTCGGGGGACGTGGAGCAGGCTAGAGCCGGCTGAGTGGAGTAATAATAATAATAGTTCGGCATTTCGCATAGCATCTTTCACATTGGGAGACCGTCTCAAAGCAATGTAAAGTGCAATGACTCTGCATTTTGTAGGCGAACATTTGCATTTAATTCCCTGCATTTGATATAGTGCCATACCACATCATCATGAGGTCTCAAAGCACTTCAAAGGAATCAGTGTAAACTTTTTTTATGTAACCCAACAGTTAATTTGGTTACATCAAAGTCTCACAAATAGCCGTTAAATGAATGATCAATTTTATCTGGAGGAAATTGTTGGCCAGGAGAAACTCCCTTCTCTAATTGTACCATAGGAACTTTAATGTCCAGCTGAACAAGCAGGGCCTTGGTTTAACATCTCATCTGAACGACGGCACCTTCCAACATTGTTCAACATTCCCAGCACTGCACTGGAGCATCAGCCTGGACAGAGTCTAAAGTCCCGCTGTGGGACCCACAAAGTTCTGACTTGGAGTCAGGACCCTCCTCCAGCAGAGAGGGAACAGGAGCAAACAGCCCGAGGAGAAGAAGAGGAAAGCAAAACATTAAAACCACATTAAAGCAGATTGCACAGAAAAATTCAATTTCTGTATTAGAAAATTTAGTTAGTTGATTTGACATTAATTAGAAAGTTCTTTTGCAGCATTTTGTGAAAAAATATACATTATTATAATAACAAATAGCGAGGAACCTTTTTGCCGTTGCTGATATTTTCGGGCTGTTGCTGCATTAAGAGGAAATTAGTGCTGTTTGCAGTCCCACCATCTGTTCGTAACGAGCTTACAGGTCTCGTTTTTGGATTCAGCTTTCTTAATTCAGCGTTCATCAAGCTTCACTGCAGCTCCATCCCAGTCAGTCTCTCTCCACCTCACAATCCCTCCATCTTCATCAGGCTCTTGGTAAACTAATAAGGCAGGAACAAGCAGAAAATGTGAATGTACCATTCTCAGGAAGGGTGGTCGAGGCCAGGACCCTGTATCATGGCACTAATGCCTTTAAGAAACAGGTTGTTTCTGCAATGGGAGGATGATAGGTTGGGTATTTTAGAAGGACGAGTTCAAACGGGCCGAAGGGCAGTCTTCATTCGAACGTCTTGTGATCTATACTAAGTTTCAGAGATAAGATACAGTTCCCTCCTTCTCCACAGTGACCTCACTAGGACAAATGTCCTAGTCCTAGCAGTGATGCTTAAACTGCCTTTACGTATGTGATTTTATCCTGCAGTTAATGTAAAGCAGAGAAGCCAAGGGTAGTTCTAAACCCTTAATCAGATTAGTCATATTGTGAATGACTGAAAAGAGACTTGCATTCTAATCTTCTTAATTTTCAAATATCTGCTCATTTAAGCAAGACATTACACAGAGAGTCATTTACATTCCAATTCCGTGCTCTTTATGCATTAAGAATAAGAATAGGCTCAGAAGCTGCAGATTATGATTTCCGTTAAGGTACATTAACTGTGTCCAATATCTTAGGGTTTTTATTAAAATATTTCCTGAAAGAACAACATTGAAACCATTTGTTGGCACAGAATGGATCAACACAGGTTAAGAATGTCAAAAGCTCATGTCTGGTACCTCAGTTGGTCCAACCGTGAACTTTGAATCCCAACAAGTCCACTCAGCCTTTAGTCATTTTGATCTTGATAAAAAATGAACATCTTGGCACTAATGCCCAAAACAGTGCTATACAGCAGAACTGATATTTTTCCATTGTGGACCTAAGGGAAAAGAGTTTCTCCTGGTATCCTGGCCAACAATCTTCCAGCTTAATTGGTCATTCACCTCATCACTGTTTGTGGAACTCTATAGATATAAATGGCTGCTGTGTTTGCCTACAGAGATGGTCACTACACAGGACAACAACAACAACTTGGAGCGCTTTACAGTAATGGATCCCGGGTCTGAGCCAGGGGGAGTGGGGGGGGAAGGTGACCAAAGACGCGGTTGAAAAAAAAGGTCTTCAGCAGAGACCTGAAAATGGGAAGGGAGAGAGGGAGACAAAGGGAGTCAGGAAGACTGTTCCAGAGCCTCGGGGCATAGTGGCTGAAGGCACGGCCGCCGAGGGTGGAGCGGAGGACTCGGGGGACAAGGAGGAGGCCAGACCCAGAGGAACGAAGGCAACGGGGACTGTTTTGAGGAGAGAGGAGGTCAGAGAGGTAGGGGGTTGCAGAGGAGTGCAGGGATTTGAATACAAGGGTGAGGATCTTGAAATCAATCCTCTCTGGGATAGGCAGCCAGTGCAGTCTGGCAAGGACTAGGGTGATCGGGGAGCGGAGTTTCGTGTGGGTGAGAATATGGGCGGCAGAGTTTTGAATGATTTGGATTTTATGGATGGTAGTGGATGGAAGACTGGCGAGGAGGGCAATAGAGTAGTCCAGCCGAGAGGTGACAAAGGCATGGACCAGGGTTTCAGCAGCTTTTGGAGGTATTGGTAGAGACAGGTGATGTGTCGGAGGTGGAAGAAAGCGATGCTGGTGAGGGACCGGATGTGGGGGAGGAAGGATAATTGGGGGTCGAACCTGACGCCTACGTTGCATACGGGTTCGGAGAGTTTTAGTGGGAGGTCGGGTAGGTGGAGGAGGTGAGAGCCGTGAGATTTTAGAGATTGACGAGAGCCAAAGAGTATGGCTTCCGTCTTGTCAACGTTCAGTTGAAGGAAGTTTGCTCTCATCCAGCCCCTGAGATCTGACAGTCAGGCTGACAGAACATCGGGGAACTGGGGGTTCACAAAGAGAGGTAGAAAAATAGAGTTGCGTGTTATCTACATAGATGTGGAAATTACTGTAAAGTGGTTGTGAAATGTTTGATGCGAGACAGCACTGAAAACTTCCATTGTTCCATCGGACACATTGCAAAAGACTGACCACAGCTGCTCCTCTTGCTCTGCGTAAAGATTGAATAAACAATATCACTGTGCTTACACTGAGGGCAGCAAAGCTGCTGTGTTCCTGACAAAATAGTAATGCACATAGGACGCACTTGCACAGGAACCGATTGACACTTCCTGTTCCATGTTGTTGGAAACAGAGGCCAAACCTGGTGCCCAACTCAGCTTCAAGGTTATGTATGTCTATAAATTGCCCTAGCCAATCTCTGCGACCTGCTGCAATCCTCCAGTCCCAGTCAATCTCTTTCCTCAGCCTGCCTGACTTTCCATCAGAGAGCCATTCTATTGTCCATTCTTCCCCCATTCCCTGGGCCTCCATCCTGCAGTTTCTCCGCCCAGCCCATCCCTCTCCATTTCTGTTCCTAACCTTAAAATCCTTCCTTTTGACCACAAATTTAGTCACCTTTATCCCTCTCCTCCTCTGACTGCAGAGTTCAACTCCCTGTCAGCTCTGAGATGCACTTTGAGACAACTTCCTGATGTAAAATTGCTCTTTGTTTTTGTCTGCAGTGTTGTTATTCATGTAAGACAGCTGAGAGCATCGTAGGGACCTGGTGGAAGCAGAGTCCAGTGTGGCTCACACCTGTGGTGTTTAAATTGCAGTGAGTGCAAATTGAACTGCTTCTGAAAACATCTCCTCCCTCCCGTGTCAGCCAGAGCAGAGCTGCCTGTGATCTCAGTCAAACTTCACATCCGGCCGTCAGCCAGTCTTTGCTAAAATCCCAGCCCTGTGCTGGAGAGAGTGAGGTACAAATTCAGTGTAAAAGCCTCGGCATCAATGAATAAAAAATTAAAACAACATTCCGTTGGACACCTTGCCCTCAATGCTTGTCGGCCCTGCCATTGTCAGCGTCCTTCTGCTGGAAACAAAAGAATAAAGCACGCAGATATCCGTTCTAATTGATCGCTGAGGGATGGCTCCAGCCACAATCGACAGGCTGAACGTTCTCACATACGACACTCAGGACGCACAACGTTGGAGGATTTTTCCCCCGACAGACTGGCAGCTGCGAAACTCTTCACTGAGCAGTCCAGCCACCAACCACTGCTGTTAACACTTTGACCCCCCCCCCATTGACTCAAATGTTTATGCTACCACGTGAACTCACTTAGGGTCCCCATTCTCAGTTGCACAGTATATTACAATTCAATATTACATATCATTGATTACTGTACGAATCTGTAAATTTAAACAAGCTTCTCACTCATATGAGAATCTCCGTTGACTATTTTTTCCCCCATCTAAAGTAGTGCCAGTCTATTCCATATGTGTGAAGTGCTCACGCTGCCCTGACTCATGCTATGGATTGTGTAAATCTTACTGCGATATTCGGATTTTAACAAAGCAAGTCTCACCATCATCATCAAGGTAAAGAGGGGGGTCATGGCAGCTAGAATCCACCTCGGAATGCTGTCCTGAAGCAAATGTGCCTTAAGAAAAAAGGCTCTCGTTAATGCGATTTGCTGTACAATAGCGAAAAAGGTTTCTCTTCCTCTTCACCAGTTTGGAACCGTTCCCGATGACAAGACTGTTTATGCATGTTCCTTTGTCCATTAATGTTCCTGCGAAGATTAAATAAAGAATAGATGGGATTGGAGGCTCATTAGGAATCGTTTGAGATCAAAGTGAAATTATGTTAAATTGTCTAAAGAATCTATATGAATGACGTACGTTGATTAAGTAATAGTCTTTCATAGCAAGTAAATTAGTTGGCGCCCACAGAGTTCAGAAGATGAATACACATAATTTTAAAAATAATCCTTGTACTTGATATAACGCCTTATCACATCATCAAGTCATCTCGAAGCACTTCACAGCATATACTATAAAGTCTAGTGACTGTATTTTGTGGGCAAGCACAGCAATGTCCCACAAACAGCCATGGATTGAGTGACTAATTTTATCTGGGAGCATTGTTGCCCAGGACACGAGAGAATCTCCTCTTTTTGAATAGTCCCATGGGAGCTTTAACATCCACCTGAACAGGCAGATGGGACCTCAGTTTAACATCTCATCCAAAGGAAAGCACCTCCAAAAATGCAAAACACCCCCAGCAATGCATTGGAGTGCCATCTTAGATTATGTGATCGCAAATCCCCACGTGGGATTTGAACGCACAATCTTCTGATGGAAAAGTGAGAGTACTACCACTGAGTCAGGCTGACACAAGTTTAACGTTAACATTTCTCTTTTGTTAAAGCTGGTTCTTTAATTGGAATTTAGCATGGATAAGAGGGGATGAAACAGCCAAGCTATTTGTTACCAGAGCAAAGATTGTCAGCTTTTGAATAATGGAAGAAAAATGCAATTTCGAAATGCATTAGATTTTGACACGGTGCAAATTGCCTGCTTAGCATTTCTGACATTACCCAGGTTTTATGCTTATTATGTGTAAAAGAGATCTCAAATGCCAAAATGACTAATAATGTAACACCATAAGGGAGGTTTTTAATGAAATTAGTTTTTTTTGAGTTCATAGTCTTGGTTGATGCTCCAGTGCAGTGCTGGGGGGGCAGGTGGGTGTTGCATTGTCAGATCTGCCGTCCTCCAGCTAAGACGTTAAACCAAGGCCCGTCTGCCTTTTCAGGTGGATGTTAAAGATCCCATGGCGCTATTCAAAAAGAGAAGGGTGTTTCTCCATGTTTTCTGGCCAACAAACCCTTAAATAAAATTAGTCACTCACTTCATGGCAGTTTGGGGGTACAATGATGTTTGCAAATTAGCTGCTGTGTTCACCTACAAAATAGTCACTAGACTTTACAATTTACAAATTTTGCTGGAAAAAAAGTGTTTTTAAGCTGTCCTCCCAAATCAAAGCATATCAAATGCAAGGATAATTATTGTTTATTACAAAGAAAAAGAATAGAAAAGACTTGCTTTTTTATAGCTGCATATTATGTTGAAACATTTGAGTGCAGTGACAGGTTTGTTAGCCAGCGCAGAAAGCATCTTTACCAACACAAAGGTGGTTTCGGTATAATAATCACATAACTTAAAGTGACTATTATACCCAAGAGCAGAACTGGATACATACTAGAGAAGTAACTATATTAAGAGATACAGGGAAAGCTTTTGGGAGGATAAATAGCTACAGATTATTCCCGCTGGTTGGTGAACCGGTAACTGCTCAGGATTGTCACAGGAAGAAGTAAGGAGAAGTTAGAAGCAATGTCACACTGAGGATTATTAAAACATGGAATACTCCTGAAGCTAAAGCCATAACATTAAACACACAATTGGATCCACGCGAGACGGGAAACTATGCTGTATAAAGAGATAAAGGGAAAGGACAGGGCTGGGATTAGAGTAGATGGCTCCAGTAGGGGAGCTGGCATAACATAAGTTCAATTAGTCAAATAGTCTCTGCGGGATGGAAATCACAACTCCAAAAAAAATCATGGGATCTAACACGCAGTAATTTCTAACAGGATTCTTCACTAGGAATTAGGGAATTAAGTATTAGGAAATCCTTAGTAAGGTACCCGGAGTGAGGATTTCTTCTGATCCGTGAAAATACATCCCACACATTACATTTGTATAACCCCTTTCATGTCAGGAGGACGTCCCAAGGCACTGGACAGTCCGGGATTTGGACCCGAGCTGGGGATTGGAGAGGGTTGGGGGCAGGGAGGGTACTGGTCCACTCTGAAAGTGGTTTGGGTCAGAATGAAGTTCCTGTGAGTTGGTGTAATGTGCTTCCAATATCCTTATTATGGAATCCCATTTGAAATCACCACATGTTAGCTTCAGCGTAGATTTGCAGAACCTGCTGAATTAGCCAGCAAATAGAGTTGCACGCACGGGAAAAGGGACAACAGCAACCCTGAGGCTGTCAAGAATTCTATTAAATCATAATATTTATTAATAAAGCTCTAATTAAAAACTTTACAGCTTGAGGTTAGGTTGCTGCATTTGTCTAATCCAATTCGACAAAGGTTTTAGAATATTTAATATTGGATAGTAAAATATTCATCAGTTTCTCATAACGTGATTATGGAGCCATTCAAACCATTCGTGTTCAGACTGACACTCACCCTCAGTCTTCACCCAGCCTGACAAACGTTCCACTTAATGGTTATTGCAGATAATCAAAGAGAGACATACTTGGTATTCAGAGGCCATGAGAAGATTGTCTAACCTTTTATAATAATAAAATTATAATAATAATCCTTGCATTTGATATAGTGCCTTATCACCTCATGAAGCGTCTCAAAGGGTTTCACAGAATTTTTACTGTGAAGCGTAGTGATTTATTGTAGGTGAATGCGGCAGCCAATTCTCTCACAGCAATGTCCTACAAAGAGCCATGTAGTCAATGACCAATTTTGTTTGGGAGATTGTCAGCCTGGGCACCGAGAAAAACTCTCTTCTTTTTGGAATAGTGCCACGGGATCTTTAACATCCACCTGAACAGACAGATGGGACCTCAGTTAAACATCTCTAGACTTTATGAATTCCAAGTCCTGACATGGAACTCAAGGCTGTTTGAAAATGTTGCCTAGAAAAAGCAATACTAATAATAATAATACTTGCATTTGATATAGTTCTTTATGACTTCGAGATGTCTCAAAGAGCTTCACAGAATATACCATAAAGTGAATTGACTGTATATTTTGAGGGTGAAACATGGCAGTCAATTGCACATAGCAGTGTCACAGAAACAGCCACAGATTGAAGTGACCAATTTATTATTATTATTTTTGAAGGAATTATTGAAGGAAAAAGTGATCCATCAATCAACTAAGAACTGGGTTCCTACTTACTACTAGGTAAACAAGAGACGTGTGGAATAAGGAAACTGGTCCCAACATTTTGTCCTGCCGGGAATCAAATCCAGGTCCTCTCGCTTGCGAGGTGAGTGCTCTAACTGCTGAGCTACAGGTCTCAAAGTTCCAAGGCGAGTGTTCTAACCATTAAGCTACAGGACTCAAACCTACAGGACAACCACTACATTCACAATAATTTCTGTAATGCATTTCAAGGCTTTTTGACATAGTAAGATACTGCAAGATACTGTGAGTTCTTTCTTTGGGGAGGACAGGTTTGCAGGGTTATGGGGAGAGCGTGGGGGAGTGGGATTGAATTGGATAGCTCTTTTCAAAGAGCTGGCAAAGACACGGTGGGCCAAATGGTCTCCTTCTGTGCTGTCTACATCTATGATTCTTCTTACCTGCTCACCAAGCACTTGCCAGTTGTACACTTGCGTTACATAATAATGAATCATTTGTTAATGGCAAAGAGAGAATTTGTTTACTCTTTTTTTAAAAAAAAAGGACCGTGGCATAAAAAGATGCTATTATATCATGTCATGCATTACCCAAATCCATTGTAGTCTTTCACATCCTTATTGCTTTTATGATTAAAAAATAAACAAGAAACACACACATTCTGCAATACCCCCAAACATTTACTTAGCACTGAAGAATCCAATCAAATCTAATACTTTCATAAAAGGAACCCCACATGGTTCCTTATAGTTCTTATGGCAATTACATTTATTAACATTCATGAAGTCCACACGCCAGATTTCACCCACGACTGATCCTGGCAACAAAATGCTATAACTTAATCTATTTAAAATTACTGATATTAAAAGTTACTGTGAACCATTAGCAGAAAGGAAAATAGTGCGGCAAGTTTCAAAAGTACAGTATAGCTACAGTACATCTAATTATTTTATAAAAACACTAGATTATTAGTCATTTTCTCATTACAAAATCGCTGCTTGTATCAAATATTTGAACAATGTTTAATTAGATCTCACTTCCAGACGTTTCTTGAAAGTCATAAGGTTGTGGGTCTGAGCCCCACATCAAGACCTTGAACGCAAATGGTCCAAAATGCAATGCAATGCTGAGAAGTGCTGTATAGATAGAGATTCCATCTTTCTGATGAGATGTTAAACAATTAAATTTGTCTGTTCAGATCGACGTTAGAGATCCCGCGGCACTGCTCACAATGAAAGGGAGTTTCTCCCAGTGTCCAAGCCAACAATCCCTCAAATGAAACTAAACATTGGTTTAAAGTCTCCTCCGATAATGTAACACTCCCTCTACCACTGTCCAGTCAGCTTGGACGATGAATTCAAGAAAAGGTCTCGAAAATCTCAACATGCTGCTGGAACCAACAACCATGTGATTTAATGTTGAGGATACTACCAACTGGGCTGGATTGACTGATATTAGTACATGGGAATGTTTTACATGGTATTAGCTATCAAAACGCTATAAGATATTTAAAAGATTATTGGGGATTTGATGAGAAATTATATAAAATGCTATAGGAAAAGGGGATTGGGATTGAAGTAGATGGGTGCAATGGCTCTTAGTTTCCTGGCCTCAGCCACCCTTCCTGTCAACCCTGTTCCAGTTATTAACTACCCTCTGGGTAAAGAAACACTTCCTGGTGTCTGCCCTGAAATTGCCCTTTGCAACTCTGAAAATATGATGTCTTGTTCTACTCTCTCGGTGCATTCTATTAAACCGAGTTCCTGTCCACCTGTTCGGGTGGGCATTAAAGATCCCATGGTACTATTCGGAAAGAGATAGGAGTTTTTCCCAGT